CAAGTTAAAGCCTAGTGCCTGTCGCACAAATCGCTATGGTGTTAATGAAATATACAATATGATTATTTCATCGGTTTTTAGGTTTTATTGGCCAGTCCGCCTCAAGGCGAGATGAAATCAGTACTTCTGATTTCACAAAACGCTTGAAAGCGAAAATTACTGTTCCGTGAAGCGACGCTGATGTCCGATAACATTTTACAACAATTAAAACAACTTGTAAAACAATACAATAAGTAATTAAATACACGTGAATGTGCAGATGTAAGATGATTGAAGATCAGACTTATGTCTATGTCCGGTTTCTGTTTTTTTTAAGGTTTAATAGTCACTATTCAATCCCCTCTTTTATAAAAACACTGAATTGTTAAATAAAAATCTATCATCATTAATAAAAAATACGACACGAACAGAAGTTAAACGCAAATCCACAAGTAAAAAACGAATGGTAAAAACTTGCACATAGATAGCTCAATTGATACAGAATGAGTTATCAAATTTTATCTCTTTAAAGTTGAAGAGCTTTTCTGTTTGTTTGTATGTTTGAACGCGCTAATCTCAGGAACTACTGGTTCGTATTAAAAAATGCTTGTGTTGGTTAGAGCATTTATCGAGGAAGGCTATAGGCTATTCAATGACTAATAGGAGCGAAGAAAAAGCAGGAGATGTGGAAAAGAGGAGGAAAATTATTAATCGTAAAGGGTTTCCAACCCGTACTTTGAGAAAACAGTTCAAGATACACAAAAAATATATTCATCTTTGAAGCATTTAAAAAACCGTAAGATTACTTGCAAGAACGACGGACATCCAGTCCAAACTATTCTACGCAGACGAAGTCGCCGAAACAGCTAGTTTTTTTATAAAGCTATAACGTGTAACATGGACACCAGATCTCGGAAGATTCAAATTCAGTTACCCTTCGTCTTGTATGCAATACAATGCGGCGGAATAATTATTATTTTCCTTGTTTAATATCCTGTAGGTACAAAGAATAGTGAATGGGCAATTTTATTGTGGTAATAAACTTATGATTTACAGACACCATAAATGTTTTTATCTGCAGGGTTATAAGGTCGAATTGACAATTGGAGAAACGTGTAGAATATGTTCAAGATATCTTAGAATTTATCATCATAGTCATAAGGAAATTGGGGCGTAGTTAAAGATTATTGACTAAAATAGCGTTTAAAACCGTTATAAAGTTGGAAAACTTTTAAAATATTTATATTTTTCACATGATTGTACCATATAAATTAAAAATCGATTATATATTGAAAACATTTACGGCACTGGCATGACTTGCCAGCATTCACAGCGTTCCGCTCTAACTAATTGAGCTACCGTGTCCACTTTGCATCTCATAAAATGTATTACATATTATCTAATAAATAAAATTCTCGTGTCACAGTTTTCGTTGCCATACTCCTCCGAAACGGCTAGACCGGTTTTGATGAACATTTTTGTGCTTATCCGGTATCTATGAGAATCGGCCAACATCTATTTTTCATCAGCCTAAATGTTAGGGGTAGTCCACCCATAAATTTTTTTTTTATTTTTTAACGAAATTTTTTTTCTATTTTTTTATGATACAACATACAAAAATACATACAATCCTCAATTTCCACCCTTCTACGATCAACCCTTATTTTTTAATAGCCATTTTAGTAAAATTATTTATATGGCAAAACAACGTTTGCCGTTATCGAACAGTTAGCAGTGAGGCGGCTGTCTCTATCCTCTTAAACACAAATTTATATTCATGATATTTAGAAATGGAGTTATCTATGCGGGGAAACATAAAAAGATAAGACCGCAGTTTACCTCCGTTTAGCTAAGCTCTTCATTAGAAAATTCAACGGAAACTTTTGGCTGATGATAAAATTCTTTCCCATAAGATTTACATAACATTATTGACTGCAGATACTAAACGATTCTTATAGCAAAATTATTAACATATAAACATATAGATGTAAATTTATAACATGATATATATAATAAATTAATATGGGAAACTAAGAATATGCATCCATCGTCTTAGATTTTTCAAGTTACTAATTTAATTTGGTGATTGACACATCTTGAGTGTTCATACTCGTAGTTGTTCGGCCAAACGTGTAAGTAGAGTAATTCTTTCCCGCAATCCCTTCTTACAATTACTACAAAATAAATCGATGGTGCATCTTCTTAAGATGTTATGGTTGGAGTATTTCACCTACCATCAAAAGAACTCCATTCTTATCTATCTTCCTCTACCGTAAAAAGTATTGAACATCAAAGTCTAAGTCAAAAATCAATTATACGATATGTTTCGATTACGAGTATTAGCTTTTCAAGCTGCTTAATGACTAAGACTCTCTTTAACGTAACCCTCAACATCTCCTAATGATGTCATTCACTCTTGATAGCAAAACGTCAAGAACCATTTTTCGATTACGACAAAAACTTAAGAAGCTTAGTAACACGGCCTTAAAAGTTTATATATTATTAAAAATTATAAGACGTTTTATAATTTTTATATAAACTAGCTGTGTCAGCGGCTTCGTCCGCGAGAATCGTAATTTTGGGCATCCAAATTCGTTTTTGCAAAACCCTTCACCTTTATTAACTTAAGCTGTACAGTCGCGTCCCTTCCCGTCTTTATTGCGAGTTAATCTTAAAAGATAGACATATAGCGTCGCGAACTTTTTTTTAATCCTTTAAAGAGGAATCATTCTTTTATACATATTTTTTGGGTATCATAAATAAAATAATTGTTTAACGACCCGTTGTTCTGGAATTAGCGCGTTCAAACAAACAAACAAACCCTTCGTTTTGTATATTAGTATAGATATTAGCACAACACAATATGATTCATCAAGAAATAAGAGTTTTATTCATTAGATAATTTTTTTTACAAAAAAATGTAGGTTTTCTTTTTAAAATCTTGTCTAATATGTCAATGTCAATGTCCCCCCCAATGTGTCAAGTTGTTACAATAGAATCATAAAATTAAGAAGAAGAAGAATTACCTCAATACATCATAATCCAGTCAATAGTATACATTTCTAGTATCGCGGGTATAGTATTTCCACCTCTAGCAAAAGCTAGTATTAGTATATCAGTGTACTTATAAGTCTTTCATGTAACGTCAAAATACATCTTCATTAGCGCGAGACGAATAGAATGCAATATGCCTATAGAAATGTTATACCCACCATTGACTTTCCAAACGATTAACTCATAAAACGAATGAACCATAAAGTCATCGGATTTATTCGTAGTATTGTATGCGGGTAGGTTTTTGGCTAGGAGAAAAGGCGACGCGTCAATAATAATAATATGTAGATATATGTTATAGATAAAAAACACACCAATTTAAAATAACAACCATTTAATTTCCCAATCCAGCTAGTCCCCAGGGATCAAGACGAATACCCTAAAGAATAACTTTACACGAAGCTAATAGAATAAGAAATCGGGTAGTACTTTTGTTTACTTACTATTTTTAACGTCTAAAAAAATTAGTAATAATAATCTAAAGTTAATTATACGTATTAGCGACACCAAAAGATTCAAAAACTTTTATAAATACGAATTATATATATTTCACAATTGCAAAGTGCGAGGCTGAAGTGCAAATTAAAATTATATTTGCAATAATTGCAATTATTTAACGAGAATTTTAGTGCATTTAATTAAATTTAGCCAAGGACAGTGATATCAAAACGGAAGTGTGACCTCATAACCGTAAACGGCATTTCGTTAATTGGACCAAAACAAAATGAAATCTTATTTCGAAATTTAATTATAATTTAACTAAACGAAAATTCTCTTTCAACTGATGTATCGCTTCATTATAATAAATTTTATGATTCTTAAAAGTTTATGAGTTGTTATATTAATATTAATGAGTTTGATATAACATAGTAATGTATGTTACATCGATAGTAATATATTATTTGGCTACTAGCTTCTTTTTGTAAATGTAGCGGGATAATATTTACATAAATAACAAAGCTACCGTATTTTTAATTAATATTAAATTAATATTTTAAAAATATGGTAATCTTATCAATATTAATACTGAAGCTGAAGAGTTTGTTTGTTTGTTTGATCGATCGAATCTCTGAAAAATTATTTTTGTGTTTGTTAGAGCATTTATCAAGGAAAGCTTTAGGCTATAAAACGCGTCGTCACTAATAGGAGCAAAGAAACGGGAAATTTTTCATCTGTGTGAGTTTACGATGCGTACGCTGCAAGAACGGTTCAAGATACCCAAAAAATATGTAAATAAGAAAATTTTCTCTTTAAATTAATTAAAAATTTGTCCAGGACAATATGTCTATCTTTTAAGGTTAACTTGCAAGAACGACCGGATGCAAACAACGTGTGTAGCTATAATTATAAAGACGATGAGAAAGTTTGCAAAAACAAATTTGGGTACCCAAAATAACTATTGTACACGGACGGATTCGCTGTCACAACTAGTATATTAAGTCACTATGTGTGTCATCGTTTTAAGTATATTTCTAACTTGGCAACCGTTCTAGGTTATTGACTTTCAGTCAAAAATTACGTTACGTACTTTCTTAAGATTACTAGCTACTTATTTTGTTTCGTATACTATGATTCATAGGAATCATCAGAGCATCAACTATACAATTACACTACTTACTGCTAAGTTGACGTATACTATTGAAGAGTTTGTATGTTAGACTACCCTCTAAGTTTTGACTCTAATAAAGGCTGTTGATGTATGCTGTATAACATCTAGCCACTACTAAAAGCAATAATGTATGTATGTTTCAAAAATGAGAGAAATATTATAATTATCATTTGAGAAATCGTTTCGCGTTTCCAGTTTTAATTTACACAAGAAATAGCTTTAGTTGAAAAGATTCCATTTATATGTTTATCTTTAAGGTTAGCTCGGCGTAAACGGCTAAACTTATTTTAATGCGGTTCATGATTAATTATAAAAAGTAACTTGGTGGACTTGTCTACATGTATATCTAAGTACTGACCTTGCTTATTTATATCCCAAAGAACGACGACACATCCTAGCCTTGCTAGCCTCAAGGCTATAAGGCTTCCTAGTCCGCCACCACCTCCGGTTATCAAGGCGATTTGACCCTTCAAATCTTTCTTAGTCCGTCTGAAAAGCGATCTATATATCCCTTGAATTAGATATCCAATGGCTGTGAGAAGCGTTACAGTAAGGTCGAAAATCGATTGAATCAATGTGTATTTATTCCTCATACATTCAGGTATCTCCCTCGTCAAGGGTCCTGGCGCCATGCCGTTTATATATTCTTGAGTTTCGGTGTGCATCGTTTCCATTTTTACTGTTTTTAATCTTCTGTTATGTCTTATCTCATTTCCGCAATAACTTTACGGTTAACTGAAACAATAAGAGTGTGTTTATTAGTCTTATGTTAGTTAACTTTAATAGTTGGGAATCTCTTTGTTTGGTATAATTGACTAATTTACGGCGCATATATAATTGTTGTTTAGGTAGATTTTCAGAATAGTAGTCATTATGTTGTGTTTAGGATAAGACTGCTTCGTACTTGTCATTAGGAGTTATTTTGATTTGAGAGGAGGACAAACAAGCACGGGGTTCTCTTCGTGGTCTAGCATTTAATCATCTAACCAAGATGCGTTGTTGACCTATTCTGGCTTTGGATATTCGGAAATCCACAGACTGAAATCGAAACGCGAATAAGCTTCACAGCTTTTTCATTCGTGACCCGGACAGAATTTCTATATTCCTACCACCCATTTAATATCCAGATTTCCAGACAAAGTGCAACATGTTTCAGAAAAATTATAAATGTGTTAAATCTGATCCCCACCATCGAACCCACGAACTTTTGACCACGTTTGATTATTAGCCATACCTTGCTAACATAACCAACGAGCCCGTCAGAATGAATACATGCAATATTCTACTTATATACTTTTTTATTTAAACACTGATGACATACCAAATATTTTATCATCTATACAGTGAGACACTATTTACCACTAAACAGGAAGAACATTCAACGATGAGTTCAATACGCAAAGGAAATACTTAAAAGAGAACTAGACGTCCCGCGTGTCCATTTATACAAAGCAAAGAATTTTAGCTCAACGTTTAGTAATGATATTTCAAGACGCATTTTGTAACGCGAATACTCATGTCACAAATGCGGTCTTATCTCTGGGGTCACGCGAAATGTCACGTTTTGGTGATAGCACTGTCGATATCGGTTCAAAGACTTCTTCAAGTGATTCATTGAGTAACAACGTGGTACGGCGGGGCTAGTATGCGCACCGCGACATATCTCTATCGCGAGTGTCGACAAATTCATACGTGGAGTCTTGTAACTATCCTACATCTATGGTTACGTCTACCAAGTATTGCCAACTAACTTAGTTGATTAAACACCGTGAAAATGTAATAAATCTGCTAACATATTTGGGACGACACAGCGTGAAATGTGGGATATGCAAAATGTTACAAAGCTAAACCTTAAGGGCGAACCCTAAGCTTAAAAAAATAATTAACAACAACAAGTATACAATGATAATATTATATCCTGAGCAATCCCGTTTTTGGGTCACCTTCTTACTTATTGTTGTTATGTTTTTTTTTTATAAAATGATGAATGCTTAATAACACTAGAATTGTACAATGTTCACAGTTTAAGTGTATGTTTATACTAATAATGTTTGAGGTTTCTTAAACATTTGTTTCAATAAACCAGTAGACAACATTTATCGAGTCGCGCATGCTTGGCCGTCCGAATGATGGAGAAGCTAGGCGTTTACTATAGTACTTCGTACGGTTCGTGTCGCAATGGATCGACGACGGCCGGTGAATGCAACCATTGCACAAACCGTGCTTGAAATAGGGCTCTCGATTTTTTATCGCATGAATTAGGAATGATTTGATTAGAAGCGGGCTGGTTTGCAAAATACAATTTTAGTTCTAATCTTTTTCTCATATTTCGATGAGGGATCTAACCTAATATAATTGAGCAGTATTTTTGCATTGCTATTTATTATATAGCGTATTAGTAATTTATGATAAAAATAATAATTTAACAAACGTACATATTTGTAATTACTTATTGTAATATACACAGTGTAAATAAATGAATAACCATGTAAAAGCGGAGTGTTTGAAGGAGGATTGTGTTATTAAAATCGAAATTCTAATAATATTTCTTGACTGAACAATTAATTAGCCTGAAATACGGATTCCTTTCACTTTTTGCCTATTTCTTTAAATGAAAATAAAAAATAATTGGACATTTGGAATTGCATTAGTTAAAAAATATGTACCTACCTCATTACAGAAATCCCAGCTTATAATTTATCAACGTCTACTTTTTATTTCTGGTTTTAAAGTAAAAAGTTATAAAAAATTATTATGTTTATGAATTTAACACAAATTTTTTACAACTTGAAAAACTGTTAGTACTATTATTTTTTGATATCGGTACCTCGATTACCTTACTTTCGATTAGAAAATAAATTTGGTATTTCTTATCAACATTTTTAACTTCCGTTCACATTTAAAACATCTATAGAAGAATTGGCATAAGATTTTCATATATTAAAAAAACAAACTTTTAAATTTTAAATGCCTCTTAGTTTTACAACAAAGGTACGTAATCAAAAAACTGTTTTAAAGTTACATAAATTTTAATATCTTCTTAACAGTAACAACTCTTCAGTGGTTTTTCTTGCCATGTGTAATAAAGATAATAAATAAGCCTATCCAAACAAACAGAAAACAAAGGATATAATAATTAGTCGCGATTTTTTTTTCGGCGAATTGACAGCCCTGCGTTTGTAAACTGCCAGTCCTTCGATCAAGAAGGTCATCATGATATTTACAAACGATCACTTATAGTTTGCTCTTTTGTGTAATAATTAATCATGCTAATAATACTCTCAGTACAATAATACACATAAGTGTTTGAAGTGGAATGACAGCAAAATGGGCGCGGCGAATATAATAAATAGTTAATGATTGAAAAAGTTAAGATACTAGGTATAAAAATACTATGCAGATATCAATACTATACTAGTACATACATGTAGTATATATTTATTCAAATGTTGAACAGTGTACTACAACTAAAAAAAAATATATAAAAAAATATCGTACTTCTATAATATTTAAAATTAAGCGTTCGACATGTCAATTTGTTAATTGAGTTATTAGCTAATAATGATGTAAACATAATACGACGTTTACAGCCATTGTTTCGACTCTTGTCAAATTAATGTTAATATTATCTAATACTAGCTGTGCACGACGTCGTTTTCGCAAGTTGATCTTAAAAGATAAACATATACTGTCGCGGACTTTATTTTAGATCATTAAAAAGGTTAATCATTCTTTCTTAGATATTTTTGGGTGGTGAACCATTTTCGCAATAGGAACCCACATATATAAATAATTTCCTCCGATATTTTTTTACATTTACCACTGACTTTATTCTTTCTATCCTCCTTCCTACAGCGTGGTATTTATAGCCTAAAGTCTTCCTCGATAAATTTTCGAATACGAACCAGTAGTTCCCGAGATTAGCGCGTTCAAATAAACAAAAACACATGTTTAGAATATATATATTATTGAGTATAACTCTGTATGCACTGTTAAGTAAAGAAGTCAATGATTTATCATAACGACAAGCGTGAAGGTTGTCCATTGTACTGCCATGACCAAATTCAATAACAATAACAATAGACACAGCGCCGTAAAAGTGTGTCTATCGCGAATGCAACACGAATTTTTTATTATCATAGTAATATCGATACTTATTCACTAAGTTTTATGTGTATATCCAAAAACTTCGCCTTTTGAGTTTTTTATAAGCCTTTTAGAAAAGAAATTACTATATTTGCATACATGTATTAAAAGATGGACATTTCTTTCGATTATTTAAAGAGGAATCATTCGTTCATACGTATTGTATATTGAACCTTTTTCGCAGCGTGCGCATGGGAAACCAACAAAGATGAATAATTTTTCCCGTTTTTCCACATTTCCCGCTTTTCCCACCTAACAGTTACAGCGCAATATTATAGCCTAAAGACTTCCTTGATAAATCCTCTAAGATAAAAAGACATTTTCAAATTGAATTGTTAGTAATAAACAAAAGTAAGTTTCTTTGTGCTCGAAAATACATGAAGAGTGCGTTTTGTTATGAGAGGTACTCACAACCACTTGTTTGAACCGGGAAACGAACTCGACAACTTGAAGGTAACAAAAAAGGTTTCATGTTATGACGTACATAATTGCAAGATTTACGGAGAAAATTATAAATAATATTGATGTATATGTACTTATTGGTGCGGTAAAGTATTCAACGTCTTTATGCAAAGATTATTAAAAAAATCACTAAGGAATGCGACTGGCCGCTACTATTTCTTATTATACCATTTAAACATTGTTTTTAACTATATAACATATACATACACATATACACAGTGAAGTAAAACTATGTGAAAGATTGCAAAGACACGTTAATAATTAGTAAAAGTAAAAAACCTGTGTATCTTGAATCAATACTACTGTAAATAACACACAATGCGTATTACAATATATATATACAAAAAAATTGTTATCGTGTCTTCCTTTTAGTATTGAAGTGCAACATAGCTTAGAGAATCATCAGATTTTAAACAGGTTTTACTGTTCGGATATCATAAAAGAATCTCTGCTGTGCTGGCAGTTTAAGTGATTGTAGTTGAATTCGTTTCTTGGAATTTTTGACTGACCTCACCATAGAAAAAAGTCTGCACAAATGAATCACAAAGTTTAAATATGAAATCTGGTTAAGATTTTTGTACTAATATGAATAAAACTGAAGAGTTTGTTTAAGCTCGCTAATCTCAGGTCGCACTGGTTCGAATTGAAAAAATATTTTTTGTTATTGACAAGCCTCTTAGAAAAATAAAGTAAAATTATGGTACAAATATAAACATTCCTTATAACCTACCACTGCACTATACTTAATCGTTTAATTATATTTTTTTCTTGTACAGCGCGTTACGCCTCGGGTCTGTTTCATAACGAGATTAAAAGTTGCTAATATTATTTATTATACAAGTGACAGATAAAGAATCGACGATATTTCAAATATGTGAAAAATTTCTCACAGGTTGATGCAAGCTGTGTTGTAACCATATTGAGATATTAGGACGCAAATATTGCGATGAATTATTATTAATAACAAGTTGTGTCCATACCGATTACGTCGCTCTTTAGACCAATCTGTCTTATGAAGAAATAGACCTTCACCTTACCCAAATCTTGAAAAACATAAGTAGGAACG